CCCCCAAGCTAAACAAGTTCACCTTTATCACCATGCAATTCGAAGGATATGCTCGAACATGGTGGATGCAAACAAGGAAAAAGATCCAGAACTTCCAAATTCCAACAATCACTTCTTGGACCGACCTCAAACAAACCATGAGGAAGCGATTCCTACCGACACATTATACACGAGAAGTTAAACTACGACTACACCAACTTCGACAAGGTAGAAGTTCAGTTGAAGACTACTACAAGGAGATGCAGTCCTTACTCAATAGGGCTAACATAACCGAAAAAGAAGAGGTAACCGTGTCAAGATTCGTCGTCGGCTTAAACTCAAACATCACTGATCTTCTTGATCTCCATGAGTACGAAAACCTCGAAGATACACTAAAGAAAGCAATGACAATCGAGACACAAGTACAAAGGAGATTCCGATTCAGAGAATATTACCAAGGTATTTCATCCTCTTACCAAGGTAATCCTTCAAATCCTTCCTCATCTTCTACTCCATCTTCTCTGAAAAAGCCAAGAGATGACAAACCTGACAAGGAGAAAGAACGACCAGCAAAGAATGACACACTTCCAACCCCTAAAGATCAAATGATAATTTGTGAGGAGGTAGAGAAAGTAAAAAAAGAAAAAGCTAAGAAAGAGGCAAAAGAAAAAGAGGTCACTAGTTTCAAAAACCAAAAGAATAATGACCCATGGGAGGTGAGTGAACCTAATTGTGAGAAGAAAAGAGTGACTCAAAATCTATGTGTGAGCACAAAAGAATTGAGAGAGAACCTTCTTTACAAACAACCTTCCATCCTTGTTCACTTTAGGGAATCAATTGTTTCAATTTCTAACATTAACAAGGATTTTCCTAGTGTGTTTTCATCTTTGTTATAGGATTTTCGAGAAGTGTTAGGTGATCCACCTAATGAATTACCACTGAAAAGAGGAAAAAAACACCAAACCAATCTAATTCAAGGTTGCATCATACCTCGTCAAACATACAATCTCGAAGAAACCAAAGAGTTAGATTTGTTACAAAAAGGCTACATCCAGGAAAGCCTTAGTCGTGACGCCATCTTAATGACGAAACATGACTTGAACAACTCCACATGCTTTATAGTTCATGCACAGAGAATCCATGTAAATGATGAGAAAGTAAAAGTAACACGAGACTGGACCACACCATCTTCCATCGCCAAGAGTTGTCGAATAGTGCTAGGTGACCCTCCTGACGGATTATCACCTGAAAGCCCTAATCACTATGCCATATCAATTAAGAGTCACGATTTACGGGAGTCCAAAGACCGAGGTAAGCAAAACACAATAGACGATGCACTACCACGAAGGTATACTCTTACCTATCAAACACATACTACTATTCCGAGAATTGAACATATCAAAGATGTATATCACAATAACTCGGATATTTCTGATAATTCTACCCATACTTTTAAAAGTGCTTCTAATGAGCTTTATCTTGTATATGAGTTTCCTTTCCAACTAAACAAGTTTTACAGTCCACAAATCTCCTCCCGAGAATTATTAATTCATGAACCACACTTAGGAGACTTAAGGGATTACTTTAACAAACCAGTTGACATGGTTTTAAACACTCATTCTCGCCACACAAGAATAAAACCATGGAGAAATTATCTAAAGCAATCATACAGAAAGCCAACAGAGGTCGACGCCATGTTGAATTTCAACCAAAACATCATATTACAAGACTTTATGCAAAAGAGGATTTCAATACTACAAGAAATCAGTTCCTATAAATAAGAAACCTCGACTAAAACGCATAAAGACATATCACATTGATCCTGGTAAATGTTTCACAAGTTTTCCGTTCAACACATCTAATTATCTTTCTTTTGGATTTTCATATTCGAGGACGAATCCTTTTGAGGAGTGGGGGAATGATACATGCACCAGAGTCCAGAATACATGCTTATTTGTACTAATGTTTCTACTCAAACCTATTAGAAGAACAAAGTCTCGAAGATTCAAAGCATATCTATTCGGTAAGAATAATGTGAATGAATCATTAAACGATTCTAATGTTGCTCCCTTTAATGTTTCAGATTCGAGTTTGAATCTTTTTGAATAAAGGGAGGATGATACATGCATCACAAGGCTCACATCAAAGGAAGAAGTAATAACTCTTCCAAATGATCCACTCGTCCAAGCATTGGAAAAGAAGACCAGAACAATAGCAGACTTGAGACGACTTTTGGAATGGGATCCTGATCTTATTTGGTCAACATTTCTTCTGGACATAAAACCTTCTATCTCTTATCTTTTCAATGGTTCTTGAATCTCATCAATCCGATATCGGGAACTCAAGATATGACCATTTTACTGAAGATGGTGCATGCAGGAAATCCTATACGGGATTACGAATTTTCAATATTTATATTGATTATTTGTAATATAATTTAATATAGGATGATTAATTATCTTTTAGGATCAGATTTATTATTTTATTAGGAATTAAGGTTGGGTTAAAACAATATTTTTAGTTATTATTATTTTATTAGGAATTAGAGTTAAAACATGTTTAGTTTATTATTATTTTATTCTTTAGTTATTTAGGACCTTTAGAATTCAGCCCCTATATAAAGGAGGCTTCATTCAACTTTGTAATTAAGATTTCTTTGATCAATAATACAACGAGAGTTTGTTTTTGCAAGTACTGATTGTCTTGTGCCTTCGAAGCTTCTTCTCCTGAAGTTCTTTCAAGTTCTTGAGAGGGAGATTAATCTTCACACTCCAATTTGCCTTTTCATCACGACTAGGAGGGTTGGTTAGAGCCATTTATCGTGTTTGTCTTTTCATTGCGACTAGGAGGGCTCGATAGGACACTTATCCATCTATTATCCACAAATCCATTCGCACCATCAATCATCTTTACCGTTCACCTTCATAAGGGAGATCTTCTGATTTCTTTATTATCTTATTTCATCTTCCGTTTATTTATCTTTTGTTTATTTTATTCTATTCTTATTGCCTTGATTCCAACACATAAAAGAAACCCTAAAGAATCCTAGATGTTGCCGCCACCTTCCCCTATTCATCCCCTTTGTTCTTCATCGAGTCTAGAGCTTTCTAGGTTTGATTCTTCAACAAGAGCAACGTTCATCAATCCGCCACCGCTTCCCTATCATTTCTCTTATTTCATTTCAATTTTTTCTCCAAACTCACCTAAATCTCATACCATTAACTCTATGTATGCCTTTAAACTCCTTATCACTTACCCCAACTAACTTATATCCAATAATCTCCTTTTAACATCCAAATTTCTCCATATAACACTTAAAACTAAAAATCGTACCAATTAGTCAAACATGTTCTCAAACGTTTCTAAGACTTCAAATTTCTTTTACACCTTTGACAAGTCAAATATGCTTTTAAAATTCAATTAATAACCAAATTCATTCATTCACTTAAAAACCCATTTTACTAGTTCACCCTTAATTCACCAACTCTTAGTTTCTATTTATCTTAAAGCTTTCCATTAGCTTCTATACCACTCAAGGCTTTAAAATCAACCCAAAAATTAATGAAATAACCAACTTAAAAGTAACTTACCTTAAAATGGAGGTTTTACGGTGAAGAAGATAATCAAAGTTTCAGATTTTTCCTTTCCTTATCTCTCTTTTTCCCACATGGTTAAATATCCTTTAAAAATAAATTTTAAATTCATTTCCTGCTAAAAGACCATAATGCCCTTCCATTCTTCAATCTTTGATAACAAGTACTAGACAAAATTTCTCAAAATCGGTCCTTAAACTTTTCAATTTATTCAAATTTAACCTCCAAATTTTAAATTCTTACACTTAGTCACTGACCCGATGTTTAGGGTATTACAGGGATCATTCAATGCATGAAGAAAAATAATGAAAAAATATATAGTGCAAACTTATCATACAAAATAATTTCATAACTTGTCGAGTTATTTAGCTTTACCTGGTTACTTATGTCCACAAGCGAAACCCCAAAGAAATAACTACGAGACAACATATATTGATTTTTGAGAGGAAGTGCATGCAACTACTTTAGGTTATATCGCATACAACGTAATATCGTAATAATTCAACTAGATCAAAACTAAGTTATGAATATTGGTCTATCAAGAAAACAAAGAAAAATGAATTCCAACAGTTCTAGTTTAGAAAATGCCAGGTCAACTAGATATCAAGATATAAACTGATATTTGCTGGCAGAGTCTCTCATGCAACACAGATTACACAGGATTCTAGGTCAAACTAAGAGTAAGAACTACACACGTGAAAATGCACCTGAGCATGTGTGAAACAAAGTTTATGGCTAACAGTAAACAGCAACACCATATTTTTGGGTACAATTTATAATTGGGGAATGCAGGAAGGTATGCTCGGGATTGGGCAACTGGAAAATCAAGGCAATTGTTACTATATTTAAAACCACTCAATCAAGTGCAAAATCACAAAGCTTTATAACAACCCATTTACATTAAGTGCAGATCAAGCACTCAAATACACAGCATCATGAGTCATGACCAAGTGGAAAAAAATCAAGGCATGCAATTGCTACCTATGTGCACTGATACGGATACGGGGATGGGAAACAATAATTTTAAAATTATAGGGTATGGGGACGACAAGGGTACGTCATATAAAATAATTTTAAAATTATAAATAGATGTAAAAAATTATAAATAAAATCAAATATCAAGACTCAAACCACAATATTTAATTTAGAACAATAAAATCCATAAACAAATCACAATATTAAAATGTCAAATCTCAATATTTAAACCACGGCCATGATTGAGATAATTGGCCTCCCCCATCAGAACAACTCACCATTAAACTTCCATTTTTTTCATTAATTATCATTACTTTATTATTATCATTTATTATTATATAATCTTCAATCCACCACTCCCATTAAACTCCCCAACCCCAAACTCTCTCTCATCTTTGTTCACACCACAAAAATTAAAAGTTGTGTTTAGCTCGAGAGAAAATATTAAGGATGATGGGGAAAGAAAGTATGGGTTTGAGTCTGAGTTTGAGTTTCCCTCACAGTCATCACCTAAATCTAACCCCTTCTTCTGCTAATACTTGTTATTCTCCTTCTGGTGTTCCCTTCAAAAACCCTCATGGAACGATGTCGTCTCTCCTCCTCCAGGTATGCTTTAGCGTGACAGTTTTCCCATGCAAAAGCCTCTATATCTGCAACTTTTTATATGAAAAAAAGTATGGTGTGCTTGCATGCAGATCCTAGCTCTGGATATTTTTGACCACCGAGGCTAGAACGTTTCTTAGAGGAATCGACGTGAACCGGTTACCGTCAACAGTCGACTGTGAAGAAGAAGCCGGAGTTTCATCTCCGAACAACACGATATCGAGTGTGAGAAAAAGGAACGAAAGAGAATCGAATGGAGGCATCAGTGATGATGAAGATGGCGACACTTCAAGAAAAAAGCGAGTGCTAGTCACATGTCGTCCCCGAAACGTCCTCAGCCAGCACCGAAACGTCCCCGTATCATTCGGCTAGACCCTGCCACCGTGGAACGTCCCCGATAATTACCCCAACCATCCCCGCACCGTCCCTGTCCCAGAGACGTTTAGGGTACTTGAAACGTCCTTCCTCTGCCGTCCCATACAACAGAGATTGCTACTAGCCTACAACTCAAATACCACTGCCCCCTCCACGATACATGCTTACACTCATACTATGTTTGGAAAGGCCTCTATCGTTCAAGCTTGACATATTCCACATACCCCCATTATTCAAATAGTTTCTAGCAGATGAAATACTTTCCAGGAAAACATCGGGAAACAAAAAAGTAACTTCTAGGTTCTACTGTTTACACTAATTTCTTACATCAACCGTTATCTATGAACTGAGATTTGGAAAAAGGTTAAATAAATGAGCAAACCTCAGTAACACTTTCGGATTGTCGACGGACTGGATTATCTTCAGTCATGAACATGTCCATTTCTGAAGACCATAAAGATATCCAGGCACGTTTTTATAATTGTCCATCACTAAACAACAAACAAACAAAACAGTAACTTTTAGTCTTAACTTCATATGAACCGCACTCAAAGCAGCTTGTGATAATTTCATAACTCAAATAACGAACAACCATCAAAGCTCCATCTAGAACTAAAAATATCACCGAAAAATACATGGATTAATCAAATCATTCCAATATATTAATCTTTCATGTTCCATGTTTATGACAGTAAAAATATAAAAAGAAACTCCAACCAGCATTTGCTTTATTCTTTAAACTGAAAGTAAAATAAAAAACATTGTTCCCAAATCAAAAACCCTTTCCAAAAGAAACGCATAACAATATTATGTTCTTAGCTTTAAAAAATCTGGAAAAAAAAAAAAAAACTAACATCAATCTTTAAGATTTTTTTCTCTGAATTGGTTGGATTGACTTATCAAAGGGAGATTTGTAGCATTTCTGAGCAGTGGACTTTCGAGAACAGGGCTTCGTCGACAATAAGAGCTTGGTGCCGGTGAAGAAAGACGATTTAGAGGCTCCGATAATGAGACCCATCGCTTCTGGGTTTGGCGCTGTTAACGATAAGAGCTGCGAGGCCGCCATGAGAGAGGAGATGCGTCTGCTTCAAGCAAGCAAACTGTCGATGCTAAACAGAGAATGAAGTTACGTAGTATCCTGACCTTCCCCGAACAAAGGCATGGTAACTGACAAAACAACACCCACACGGCCGGTGGAGGTGACCCCGACGGTGCATCAACCATCCTGACCTTCCCCACACGAGCGCTGATCTCGTAGTATCCACAAATGGCCGATTACACATGGTTGTAGCGGCGTTTGATAGAGCAAAGCTCGCGGTTTCAACACAAACAGCCCCCAACACCGGAAGCGACGATGTGGCTGCGACGGAACCTTAAACCGATGACCGGTGACCTTGCTTACCCTTGGAGACGAACGTCGGCAACAATGAAGGTGAGTGGGGAGTTTACTGCTAGGGTTTGAAACAAAATAATAAAGAAGAAAAGGCGTCGCACAATTTTAAAAGTCGGGGACGGAAGATTTTGATATCAAAATAAAATTGGTATAAGGTAAGCCATCAAATTTTCTAGGGTTTTGCAAAAATAGAGACTCAAAAGCGCGGCAAAAAGCCGCTATATAAATCTTATTGTGGCATTTGTATAAAAAACACTACTAAAGAAATAGTCTATAACGGTGTTTTTATAAAACGCCGCTATATATAGAGCTTTGCGGCACTTGCGGCGCTTGTATAAAAAACGCTACTAAAGTAATTGTCTGTAGCGGCTTTCCTTAAAAAAACAACGCTATATATAAACGTTATTGCGGTGTTTAGTAAAAACGCCACTAAATTAATAGTCTATAGCAGCGTTTTGTTTAAAAGTGCGGTTGATGTTACAATTTTGCAGCGTTTGGTACAGAAACGACGCTATAAACCTGTTTTGTGGTGTAGACACCCATTTTCGTCCGGGATTATTATATTATATTATATTATATTATATTATATTATATTATATTATATTATATTATATTATTTATTCTATTTATTATTCTATTTATTTATTTATTTATTTATTTATTCTATTATATTATATTATATTATTATATCTATTTATTTATTCTATTTATATATTATATTATATTATATTATATTATATTATATTATATTATATTATATATTTATTATATTATATTATATTATATTATATTATATTATATTATATTATATTCTATTCTATTCTATTCTATTCTATTCTATTCTATTCTATTCTATTCTATTCTATTCTATTCTATTCTATTCTATTCTATTCTATTCTATTCTATTATATAGTATATATAGGGTATTATATAGTATATATATAATATGGTATGTTATGTATTATAATATTATATTATCTATATATATTCTTTATTATAGTATATAGTATTATTTATATATTATTATTATATATTTATTACATTATTCTATATATGTTATATATTATTTACTTATTTATTTCATGTCCAAATTAAAGATAAAGTCCAAGTCCAATCGGTCCAAAGTGAAGCCCAACTGAGCAAGTAGGCCTGACCCAGCAAGCAAGCCCGGTTAGGGAAGGCCTGATCCAATCCAATAAGCTCATCTGCCTAACCCAACAGAGATTTCATGAACCTTAAAATAGCAATAGCACTTCAAGCCTAGAGGCCAGCCAACGCATAACAGTCGGTGAAGGAAACGGTGCATGTTAAATCGAAGTTAATCATAACAAAATCGGGAACAAATATTTCTAGTGATCCTCGGCAAACATGAGCAACAACTCGAGTAAAATGGGGACGAGGGAAACATTCCCCATTATGATTAAAAACAACTCTGTCGGGGGGCTATATAAATACCATAAAGAGAAACCGAATAGCACAAGGCAATACACAACAAAAAATGCAATCGAAACAAAAAAAATGAAGCATCACACAAGGGAAAAAGCATTCAAAAATATCAAAGATTCGGTTTTGACTGCGTGGAGGAAAGAACGGTTGCGAAAACCAAAGGTCGCCAGAAAACGAGAGGCTCGTCAGAAAAAGGTAACCCAGACTTTGTTTTTGGATCTACGCTAATGGGTTTTTTTAGGGCATTTGGACCTCAGTTTTGGGTTCGGATGTTAAGAGGAAGCTTTGGGTAGGATTTTAGGTTCCCAGCCACCGGAGGCAGCGATCGAGCGACGGTCCGGGAGGCAATGCCTCGTCGGGGAATGGTCAGTTTTCGGTCGGCGTGGGGAGAGTCTAAGAGAAAGTTGAGAGAGAGAGAGGTTTTTATTTTGGAAGAATGGTTAAAATGATTTTTTTCATGATTTTCGGGCTATTTATAGGGAGGGCCTTTGTGTAATTACTAAATAGTTAAATTATTTATACAGTCCCTATAGTTTTGATGCGCAATTTATTTTGGTCACCTGTTGTAATTTTGCCCTTGAATTTTGAATTAATTCAATTTAATCTATGAATATATTTCTTATATTTTGCAAATTAACCCCATAACTTTTTATTTTTCCTTGCAGCTTTCATTTAGCATCAATTTAACCCCTAATTTTAAATTCTTTTCAATTTAATCCTCCTTAATTTTTGTTTTTTTTAATTTAATACATGGATTTTTTATTTTATTTTATTTTATCTGTTTAACATTAATTTTACTTTGTTTTAAGCAATTTTAAATTGGTCAACGGTAAGTAATTCAGATCAAATTTTTAAATTTTAATTTCAATGGTAATTTTCACAATTAATACAATCGGGAAATCAAATTGGTACAGAAAGGGCAGTGCAAGGGTGCTAATCCTTCCTTGATTGTAATCAACTCCCAAATCCGACTAATTTCTGGTAAATCCTAGATCAAATAAATGGTAAGTTATGGTATCCAATCAACAAAATTAAAATGATCGGTGGTGACTTCATCACATCAAATTAAGTCGAAACCCGATTTCGGATCCACCGAAGAGCGGTTACGACAGCTTGGCGACTCCACTGGGGACAGGTAAGAGAGTTAGGCCAAAATTTATATAAGGTTGTCTTCCTAAGCAAAATTGTAAGTTTGGATTATAATTTATCTTTTTGATCCTTGTTATTTACCTTTGATTATTATTTTTCAAATAAATAGTTGTATTGATAGTTTTCTAATGATTTCAGTTTTTTTTAAATCATTTATCTCAAGTCATATTCTCGGTTTAAATGGAGGTGAAAGTTAAGCCTTCGTGGGAATTTATTTTTCGTATAAGCCTAGCAATTAACCTTCGGGATTCATATACCTTATGCCTTCGTGTGAATTTATTCTCTGTACAGGCATAAGGAATGTATCCTCTCGAGTTTAACTCGGTCCACATTAGCCTGTGATGGCTTAGGACTGAGGGTATGGCAGGCCCAAGGGGTATTAGCAAGGAGAACTCAGGTACCTCTTTTATATCCAAACCGTGATGCTGCAAGGAATTAGAGCCCACCCCAAAACTTCATTCAAAACTTGGGATGCTTGATTTATTTCCTACTTTATTTTTAATGTTCAAAGCATACGAATTAGAAGTACATGCAGTTAGGATTTGTTCAAGAAAATAACATGCGAGATATAGATCATGTTTGGGTAGGAACAAAAAGCATGTGGGGTAGGAATTTCTGTTTTCATTATTATTCTGATTATTATTTTTATTTTACTAATTTTTTTCCTTTCATTTTTTGTTTTATTTTCTTTTTATCATTTTCATCATTTAAAAGAGATGTTGATCCGCAAAGTGATCGTTAAAACTCAAATAATTTGTATTAATGGAAAAAGGGGTTATAATTCAAGAGATAAAAATTATAGAAGTACGACTATGGTCATAAAAGACTCAGAAGGAAAAATAGATAGCCTGCAAGATAACTATGTGTCAGACCTGGCTGGCTACGCTTCCATCAGCCTCAAACAGAATTATACTCAAGAGTTGTATAACATTTGGGACAGTTGGAAAAAAGACATGAAACAGAGGTTTTGCCAGTGATACTGTGATATTGCACACTTGCTCTATGTCAA